CTCTCCGCTGGCAAACAGGCACCGCCCCCCCCCCCGCCCCGCCCCGCCCACATGTCTCTGTTTAGGACTGATTATTTTTTCCCTAATCTATGTTTCTCACGCACAGTAAAATGTATCGCTTCTCTGACGGGAATTATCACCTCCTAAACTAAGCTGTAATACTGTTGGACTGTGCCTGTCAAAAGTTCATTCGTTCATTCGTTCATTCGTTCATTCATTCATTCATTCATTCATTCATTCATTTTCCCTCTTTACAGCCATATTTCCCTAAATAAATTATTAAATTGTTGCAATCATTATATTTATCACTTGAACTATAAATGTTTTTGCATTAGAAATTTTTTTTAATGACATGAAGGGCAAGTTCTGTGTCCGTGGTCATAGAGACACACATAATAAGCCCTGCTGGATTGCTGCATTGTTAAGACAGGGTTACCTTCCCTGTGTGGCCTTTATATACCAGAACTAGGCTTAGTTCTTGTTTTTAGCTCCCAGTGGTCAGCCGCTGTGGTATTCTGGGATCCAGCCCTATTGTATTCTAGGATCACATATAATTAGATCTGAGAGTTTAAACCTCCAAGGTCAAAGTTTGAGAGCTTTGCTGAGTTCAAACTCATACAAGACTCAAGAGCTCTTCCTGACCACTCCAACCAGCTTCCAGTCCGCTACCAACCCAAAGTTCATATCTTCCCACCTCTGTCCCAACTGGACATCTCACCAGGTTTGGGTGCCTCTAGCAAAATAAGATGTGCAGCATAGATTATTTGTCAATATCCACCACAAGGGGGCCTCCTTGACCTCAGATGCCTGTTTTAAATCAACAAAATTGTTAGCCAACAAGCCTTCATGTACGAAAAAAACAGCAATACATCACACCCAGCCCTGAACTTGAACAGGGCTGCTCCTCTTACAATACCAACATCTGTCAGTGATCTCCGTTAATTATACCCCTCGATTGCCCCCAGGACAACTTAAAAAGGTTTACTTGATCCATTGATGCACATGAGACTGATTACAGAAGACGTCAGATGGGAGGCTGTGCTGCTGGAGATGGTTGTGGGGATATAGGGGTCACACCTGGTAACATTTTTGAAATAGAGTCTTAGATAAGAATGGCGGAAGACTTTCACCGCTGCTGTTTCTTCCACTCTCCCTTATCTCTCCATCTCAGTCACTCAGGTTGATATCTAAGTCTCCACTTAACAGAGAGACCCCAACGTTTTCACATAGACTTCTGGGGCTCCGCCCCTTGAAAAAGCCTGAGAAATTGTGGATGGTGGGTGGGTGAGGAGGCATCCAATTGCCATTAAGGTTACAAGTATATACATTGTTTGGCTGCATTCGGTTGGCCAGACGACGAGGACACAGGACAGGCACCAGTGCCCATTTGGGAGAGCCACTTCTGCCAGATGCTGTACATCGTCCATTTCTTCCTATTTCATTCGATGGCCATATGGGCCACCTTGCAGTCAGCACCCAATTCATAACATTCCAATTAACATCACAGCAGATGATAACCAGTTTATTTTGGTAAAGCAATAATGCATTGATTTCTTTTCAGAGCTAACAGACTAATAGCACATAATATTTCCTATCGATTAAATCTTTAAACACAAAATAGGAAAATGCTTTTAAAAAAAACAGTAATTATCTGCATTTAGTCTCCATTATTTGGAAAAGTTTTCCTTTGATCTTCTTTTGGCATTTCTAATGTCCTGCGGTGTGTGTCCTTACCATGATGGTGGATTGATGTTGTTTATCTACTAGTCTAATGAATGCTGTAAAATGAAGCCTTAATTAGCCCTAGCTTCCTCTCCTTTAAGACAGAATGCCGCGCGAGGAAGGGGGGTGAAATATTTTCTTTCATATGCTGATTAAAATTAACAAAAGGGCTTAAATTACATGCAGAATGAAAACATACTTTGCTGAAAGAGGATACGTCTTTGATTTCTATAAGTATGTTTATAAATGTTGTCATTTTGCTACTAGATATTTTGCCCTATTCATATAAAGTGTCTAAATAAACAGACAGAAATATTTTCCTGAGATTGGAGCGTACAGTATAGCTCAGCAGATTAGAGATGTCTGCCTGTGTCCAGATGGTCGTGGGTTCAAATCCTCTTGCTGGCAGAATAAATGCATCATTTGTTGTGCTCGTGACAATGGCCCACAGCCCCCAAATGCTCCACGCGCAGCGGCTCATCCTGCTCTCTCACTGCGGACACTCTTCACTTGTATGTTGCCTTGGAGAAAAGTGAGTGACAAATCTATGCAGTGAAATATAAACCAGTAAGAGAGTGGGGTGTATACAACAATTATCTGTTATGCTCAGTACAATGGTCAAAGAGGAAATATATGTAGTTCTGTGCAGAACTCTTGGACCACTAAAGAAAACTGTGTTTAAAGCTTTCATCTGATCAGTAATTGTATATTTTGTTTGGGTATGTTGGACAGTTAACTGTAAATAGTAGGATAACTAGAGGAAAAGTTTTGAAATGGCTAAGCTGCCAGACACTGAAAGCTATAAATTTACACCAACGTAAACAAAACCTAAACTTAGTTTCTTCTGGTGGCCTATGACTTCTGCATTGTACCATATATATACACCTGCGATGGATTGTACCCCAACCCGGGTTATTCTGGGATAGGCATCAGACCCTTATGACCCTGCATAGGACAAGCAGGGATGTAAAATGGATGGATGGATATATATACTGTAGCACTGTATGGCTTTATGATTGCAGAATTTGTTTAACCACTGTGCCGGGTTTATTACAGTTTATAGTGCATTACTGTGATTGGATCTAATCAGTCTTTGATGAACAATTTGCTCCAAAGGTTAGCCCGGGCTAATACTCAACGAGGGCCTCCTGAAATGCTTCAGTCACTGTAAGTTAACAGTTTCACCAATTAGTTCACACTTTTCTCCTCAGGTCGTTCATGCTCATAAGTTCCTGAAAAATATAAGATTACATATATTCGATGCATTTTTAAATAAGAAGAACAATGACATTTTTAAATTTATTTGAATATTACTCGAATGAATGCATCTATCCATCCATCTTCTGTATTACTTGTTCAGTAAGGGTCAAAGGGTTGTGGTAGGCTAATGAAAAGGCGCCCGTGAACCAGCCTGCCTGCATGTTTTTGAGACTGGAGTACCAGGAGTATCCGGGCTGGGTCTTCTGTGTATCAGAGGTTTCCTCCAGTTCCCCTCTCAGGTTAATTGGCTAAATAGCCTGTAGTGTGAGATGCTCCTGTCCACTGTGCACTCCTGTACTTTTTTGCATGCGGCTACGGAACCAGAATACACACCTAATTGCTAACAGTGGCCAGAAATTACACAACGAGCCTCTTATGTGTCTCTGATGGGTACTTTAAAGGCTTGTGTATCTAAATGATGTGGGGGACCGCCATCAGTGACATGTTCTTGCATCAGGGTGCCAGTGAAGAAGAGCCAGCCCACTTGGATGGTGTATTTTTAGAAACTCATTTAGCTGTGTTTGCAGTATCCCCTCACTGAAGAGAGCAGTACCATTCGACAGACATTACAACGACTGGTGTAGCCGAAGAATATTTGATGGATAACAGGCAATAGAGATCATTCACATTAATAAAACTACTGTACTGGTGACATGACCCAGTTCCTGGCTTTTTGAAGGTGAATGCTGAATTGTTGGGGGGGGGTCCTTATCATGTAGAATTATACGAATTCTTGGAATCTGGGGAATCTTGTTCTCCTCTGTGTCTCACAGTATTTTCCGGTGATTCATTAACATTTGTGTTGATTTTTTATTACCTCATTGGACAACACGGTAAAGTACAAACTGGTGAAGAAGTACACATTATGACCACCCCCATCCCCATGCAAAATGACTGGTGTGGGGAAAGACAAGTTATGCTGGTTAGAATGATAGAAATACCCTTAGGAATTCTGTTTTAACAACCAGCTCCAACTATAGATAATAAGTATAATAGTATACTTATGATTGGGTTGTTATTTGTTAGTAAAGTGACTCAGTTGATCCTTTTAAATCATCGTGTTGTTTAGGGGAAGGTTTAGTTAATCTTGCATCCACTCTATTGTGGATTTTGTTCAATTCTGGTTGGTTGCTCTTTGTAACACAGAGTGCAGAAAATCCACTGTATCTTGGCAACAAGCACCGCTAATACCTTCCCTTGCGCTTCCCAGCCAATGTGTGCACATCAACATTCATCCACAGGCTGCATTCCACAATTCCAACTTCTGTTTATAATAACTTAAATTACTTAAAAGTAATTCATTATTAAAATGTGTGTAAATATGCCTGTACACAAGTGATTTTATAATATTTTTCCCATTTATGACAGATAAGGTTTCCTTAATATTTGATTTTATAATAATTTTTCCATACAGTACATGACAGATACGGTTTCCTCAATATTTGAAAACAGAAAATTAAGTACAGAAATTGTACCTTTTCAAGGACAAAGGAGTTACAAAAGCATTGGATAGAAAAGGATAAAACAGGGCTTGATGGATGAGGTCCAGGCAATTAATTAAATGAAAAACAAAATCAATGAGAATGTTGCCAATGTGTCCACCTGCCTGATATGTTTTATTGTTGTGCTGTCATTAAAGGAACAGTGATACTTTTTAGAGTGCTCAGTATTGATCCAGACTGTTCACGCCATCCTTTCCATATTGTTCAGTATTGATCCTGACTGTTCTCTACCTGCTTCATAGCATTATTCTCCACACAGCATCATTCCTCATCCTTTTCCTTGACTGGATAATTGCATCTTTTCTCATCAACTGCGACATTCTGCACAAAATGGCTGCCATGAATCAGCCATTATCTGGGCTGCGCTCCTTAACAGTGGATGGATGTTGTCTTGTGTAAGGTCCTAACTTGGTGGCTGTAAGAGAA